CTGGGTCACACGCACCGATGCACAGGGCTTACTCCTGGCTCATGCACTCAGGAATTACTCCTAGCAGTACTCAGGGGACCATATGGGATGCTGGGAATCGAACCCGGGTCGGCCGCGTGCAAGGCAAAGATCCTACACGCTGTGCTATCGCTCCAGTCCCCCCTGCTGTATTTCTTTAAGCATGTGTGAAGCTGTAACAATGACACGGACATCATCTCCTCTCTCTGAGCTCTCGTAATTTAGATTCCAGCTCGAGCACTCAGAGGAACAAATTACACCCTGGTTCATGACCTACATGGATGATACTGGATGCAGGAGACTCCTGGGGGACATAGAAAGGGTCTGTGCCCCAGCCTGGTATACCCTATTAACCAAAAGCCACAGTGTCTGGAGAAAGAGATTCACGAGCAGGTTCTTAGTTCAAATCTAGGGAAGAGGAGGATAGTGTTTCCAGGTGGAAGGAAATACCTAGACTGAGAATGAGCCCTGGCATTCCCACCAGCAGCCAGGGTGTCCAGACTCTGGTGCTAATGGAGGTTCTGAGGAGGAACCATGCAGAAGCTGCCTTGTTCCCAGGGAAGAATCCCTTCCTTCCCCAGTGAAGGCAACCTGAGTGAATAAATAGCTATTTAAGAAAGCCGTGTTGTCTGAGATCAAAGAAACAGTGTTAGACCTGCCACCAGCAATGAATGATGTGATGAATGGGAATATGGGGAAGGAGTATTAGGCTGCCTTGAAGATGATGATAATGGTGATGATGGTGATGGTAGTGATGATGATGGTTCTCTTACAAGATTTATTTGAGTCTCCAAAACAAGGCCAGTGGATGAACTTCCATGGGGGCAGCAGTGGGGCCCGGTTGTGGCTGGTGGGTGTCTGGAAGATAGGGGGAGGTGGCCCATCTCGACTCACAGAAGGCTGGAGTTTTTATTAGGCTGCTTTTAAGCCCTAAAGCTGGCCAGTCTTTCCACTTCTGTAGCAGACAATACTGTCTGAGTTGAATAAATCCTCTCCCCCTGCCCTCAAGTTCTTCTTTCAAGTGCTCAAGATTCAGCAAGCAATATTTTGCCCTAATTTTATTTTATTTCTGAGGTTTTTAGGCCATATCCAATAGTGCTCAGGGCTGACTCCTGGATCTGTGCTCAGGGATCACTCCTGATAGTGAGACTCATCACTCCTGGTAGTGAGACTCAGGGGACCAAATAGGGGAACCAGGGATGGAGTTCAGGTCTCCCATCTAGCAGGCAAGTGCCTTACCTGATGTACCATCACTTCAGTCCTTTGGCCTAATTGTAATCTCGTATAACGTGGTTTTCTTTTCTGTTGGATCACCATGAGATACTCAGTTACAAAACTGTTTATGATCGGGCTTCAGTCATATAATGTTCCAAGACTCATCCCCCCACCAGGGTACATATCCCACCACCAATCTCCCCAGTTTGCATCCCGCCATCCCCCCTGTGTTTTTAATTAAACAAGTATTCCTCAGAATCTGAGATTTTTCTGAGAAACACCCCTTCCCTTCTCATTTTCCAGAGGAGTTTGCGAAGTGAGTTTCCATTCCAAGAAAATATTTTTGTCATTTTTAACTGTTGAACCTGACTTATGAATAACTTGCAGTGGTGTGAATATGACATAAATTCCAAACCCACTGGTAATCTACGCCATCCTATCATTGCACTGACAAGTCAAAGATTTGTTTTTAAGTTGCCAAGAAAAATATTCTGTCCTAACAGTCTGATGTGGTTCCTGATTACCTTCCTCTCTCTGCCCTTCCCAGCTAAGTATGTCCAGTGTAACATAAACATTAGTTAGAGGATGTTATTTTTCCATTCAGAGCTATTTTTCAGACAGGTTTATTATTCCATAAGCCAAAAAGACAATTTACCATTAAATTCCAAGCTGTAAAATACCAGCTCCTTGAAAGGTATTCATTTCTAGTTAGGCCCTTCAATTCAGGATTATAGTTCCTGATCTAGTGGCGTATACATAGCAGAAAGTAAATATTGACAGAGTGATTTAATGACATAATATTTGAGAGTGTTTGGCTTGAGCAAGCAGTCCAGTAAAAATGGGAGAAATTTATTATATTTAAAATTAATGTGTTTATTGCCAGGGAGCAGCTAAGAGGGATCATTTGGCTTCGATGTGGTCATGAATGCTTTCTACTGCAATTTTCAAAGTCATTGTTTGCGCCAAACTCCGGAAAACAAATCCTAAGTGCAGAACAGATGGTACAGACTTCTATTTCCAGGCCCAATCACAAAGGCGCCCCCTAGAGGTCACTACAGATTTACAGAATCCATTTTTGGAAGCATAGCAGATAGGGCGTTTGCCTTGCATGCATGCTACCGAGAGTATCTCACCCGCACTGCACGGCAAAGCCTGGCAAGCTACCTGTGACATAATCGATATGCCAAAAACAGTAACAACAAGTCTCACAATTTGTTGTGAGATGTTACTGTGCCCGCTCAAGCAAATCGATGAACAACGGGAGGACAATGCTACAGTGCTCCACCAAAGGAACACACCCTCTTTCCTAAGTGTCTGGTGATAGAGGGAGGACAAGCAGAGTGAGGAATATCATTGTTTCAAACCCAAATATTGCCTTAAACCATTATATCAGGTGAGGAAAATGCTGAGCAGAAAGTGGGCACTCAACAAATATGTCATGCATGTAATCTGTATAAGATAGTAAGAAGAAAGCTTGCCTGATATGGTGTATGTACATTCTTTGTACATCCTGCTTTAAACAGAGATTGTCACACTTGAAACTGGAATTGGAAAAGAACACTTGTCTCCCTCATGTGATGCTCACACCCATGCCAGTGTAAGGGCCCCTGTTTATTTTGGGGTGGGGAGTAACTGCTTGCAGAAGAGTAGTTTGTAGGAATTCTCCCATCACAGGACCAAGTCATAATCTAAAACTTAGCTCCACCGGTCTTATTCAAAGCAAAAGCTGCTTTGACTCACAACAACCCCTTTGCCTGAGCAGAGTCAGATCCTAGAACCTGATGACTCAGAGTGTTGCAGAACTACAGCTTAGGTCACAGCATCCTTAACCAAGGAATATGGGATTGAACAAAGTTTCGCAGGGAAGCCCTTCTTGGAAAGTTAGGAAAACAAGTAGTGCTCTTCACCCAGTCAATCTGGAAAGAGGTAGGTTGGAATGGCAGTATCTTGGGGTAGATTGTTGACCCTTTCTGTTCTTTTCCCGCCAGCAGCCTGTAGGGTACTCTTCGGCACAAACTAGCTGCCTGTGCATCTGCTCTTTCATTTTCTTCCAGAAGGTTACACTGGTCCTCACACTGCCATGCTCTGGGGCTCCTCTCTCTCTCTCTCCAGCCAGGGACTTCTTAGTCAGCGACTAGCATTTCTTAGCTTCTCTCTTACTTTTCTGGAACAAAACAAAGACTTAATAAAAGGGGTGTGAGCATGGTTCTGTTGTGTATCCAGAGAAAAAGGACAGACAGAGCCAAGGATGGAGAGAGGAAACGTTATATGATACAGTGGGAATCTTGTTCTTGTGGTTGTAGATGCAGACTTGGCATGTGACAAGGGATAGGTGAGAGGTGAAAGGAAGTAGGGTAGAAGAATGAATGAGTGAATAAATAAATGAATACAATGCAATAGCTCATTGTCCGCATACATATGGCATCTATCTTGGGACTCGGGGGAGGGGGGGCAGTCCTTGGCGTGACAGCTCTGGCTTCAGAGTCTGGCTGTTGAGTTGAGAAGTAGGACGGGTTTGGAGGTTGAGGGAGACAACTTGCTTCTGAGAAAAGCAGAAGAGTTGGTTGAGAGCAAGGTGCCCTCCAAGTCTGGGGTCCAGGTGCCTTGAAGGGCAGAGGCAGCCACTTCACACCTGCAATCCCACCCCCCCACCTCACCCTTGCATCCAGAGCATGTTCACTCGGTAATCGCTCACCACTGTGTGTGTGTGTGTGTGTGTGTGTGTGTGTGTGTGTGTGTGGAGCATGGCAGTGCTCTGGAATGGACCAGCTAAATTCCAGTACTGGAATTTAGGCATGGCAGCAAAGACTTCCTATCTCTCAGCTGAAATCCTTCTCCTAGGGCCAGGGTTAATGGCAGGAACAGAGCACGCACAGGACTAGCATGTGTGAGGCCCCACGTTTGCCCCCTGGCTCCACATGGCCTCCCATCACTATTCAGAGCAGCATTAAACATAAAAACATAAACAAACATAAAAACAGTATCCACCCAAAAACCATTTCCAAAAATTAAATAAATAAATAAATAAATAAAACCATTTCCCGCCAGCCAAACCCACCACCCCAGAGAATTCATCAGGACAAAGGTTCTCCCACTCTTGTTGACTGCAAGCTCTTTGCTTGAAAGGGCAAAAGGCAATGGTGTGGAGATGGGGTCTGGGCAGGCCTCAGGAGCCAGAGGAGTGTCTGTGAGTGGTTAGCAACTGCAACCCGCAGGCGCATAGGTGACAATGGTGTGTGGGGGGCCTGGCATGGACAGAACTGGCAGGGCTATGATGAGAATGAGACTAGGTACTGTCAGGTAAGCTGAGGTGCAGGGACCCCCAGACATGCACCCGTCCCATTACACAGGGAGAGAAGTCCAGCCCTCTCCCTCTTACCATTTCCTCCTTCTGCTTCCTTTGCACCAGGAGAAATTGTACTGATGTTGCTGCTGGCTTAGGTGGACTCTCATCCCTAATCTATGTGTTGTTTGTGTTTTGGTTTTGGGGCCACACCCAGAAGTGCTCAGGCCTTTCTCCTGGCTCTGTGCTCAGGGTTCACTCCTGGCAGGGCAGGGGGGACCAATGCAGTGCAGGGGATTGAACCTGGGTCAGCTTCATGCCAGGCAAGCTTTAACCCCTATGTTATTCCTCCGTGGCCTTTAGAAGTGGGCATGAGCTTGGTCAACCTCTATGGAGAAGGGTTTACCCAAGCTCCAAAATGATTTTCAGGTTACCCTGGAGCAGAGGAGTTACTAATGGCCTGGCTGGGTTTGCTGTCTTGCAGGTACCATGATCAACAGGATGTTACTAGCAACTTCCTGGGAGCAATGTGGTTGATCTCAATAACTTTCCTATCCATTGGTTATGGCGACATGGTGCCTAACACCTACTGTGGGAAAGGAGTCTGTCTGCTGACGGGAATCATGGTAAGTGTCTTTTCCCTGCTGGACTTAGATACCCAAGAGGGAACTTCAACCCCTCAGGGCGGGCATCGCTGTCAGCCGCATCATCCTGATCAGCTGCATCATTCTGGCAGCAGGAAAGCGGCAGAAACATATATGGGGGTTATGTTGGGGGGGGGGGCAGGTATAGGGGGAGAACATGGACAGCCTGCATCTCCAGCTATCTCCTGCTGCCGCCTTCAGGGGACAGTTCTGTTGGAACAGAGTCCCCCATCAGGCTGCAGCCCAGAGCCAAGGTGCTCCCTGAGGCTGGCCTGCACCGTTTCCTGGTGCCTCAGTGGAAGTTGAGAACATTTCTGGGAAACTGACTTTTCTGAGCAATTCCAGCGTGCCTGATGCCTGTAGCAGGGTAGAGAAATCAAGTGAAAATTTCACAGCTGGATTTATGTGAAATATTGCATGAAAAATATTGCATGAGTATCCATAGTGTGCCAGGAGCAACCCCCCGCCCCCCCCCCCCCCCGTTATCCTCCAAATAAAAACCCTAAAAGAAAATAGAAATTGGTTTTTGGCTTGCCTGCATGGAGCTTTGTGGGGGAGGGGGAGGGTTTTTATTTTTATTTATTGCATCTTTTACAGATGACATGTTATTTATTTATTTATTTAGGTTTCTTTGTTTGTGGACCTTCTCCAACACATTTCCACACATTTATATTAGACCACACTGTCCTGAATCTCCCCTTATCTTTTTTTTTTTTTTGAATCATTGTGAGATAGACCTTTACAAAACTTTCATGATAGGGTTTCTGTGGTACAGTGTTCCAACACCCATCCCTTAACCAGTGCACATTTCCCAGTTGGGGTGTCAATTTTTTTTTTATTTCATTGAATCACTGTGAGATAGAGCATTACAGAATTGTTCATAATTGCATTTCAGTTATAGAATGTTCCAGCATCCATCCCTCCACCAGTGTAATTTCCCAGCACCAGTGTTCCCAGTTTCCCTACCAATCCTTCAAGCCACCCCCACCCCAGCCTGCCTCTATGAAAGGCAACTTCTCACCTTCTCTCTCTCTCTCTCTCTCTCTCTCTCTCTCTCTCTCTCTCTCTTTCAAAAAAAAAAGGCAGTATGAAACTAATATCCAAGGCCCGGGGGAAATGGGGATTGCTTTTAAAAGAAGAAACAATGAGTTGCTGAGGACACATGTAGGATCTAAGATTAAGGCACTGAGTGAGGTGATCAGTTCTGTCGGGGAAGTTGACTCAGAAGGTTGGGGTGAAGGCGGGAATGCTGAGAAGAGGAGGAGGAGAGGGAAGAGTGGCAGTCATCAAGCCTGGCATAGGGCATGTAAGTGACAGGTACCTCCAGGGGGTCTGGAATCTTCCGGCAAGACCCTTCCTGAGCCCATGTGAAGAGGCTAGAGAGACAGTACAAGAGCTGAGGCACTGGCCTTGCGTGTGGTAAGTTCGTAGCCCCCCAAGATGACTCATTAATTAAGCTATTGACAATTTCTTAACTACAGTATAATTTTGAGTTATTAGCCAGTGAAATACACACATCAAAACTGAGGGCATGAGAGAGAGAGAACAAGGGGGAATACCCTGCCACAGAGGCAGGATGGGACGGGGGGGGGGGGGGGATGAGGGGGGGGGATGCTGGGACCCGTGGGGATGGATGACGGGCACTGGTGGAGGGATGGGCACTTGATCATTGTATAACTGAAACCCAAGCACAAAATTTGTGGGCCTATAACTGTGCCTCATGGTTTTTCACTAATAAAAAAATAAATAAATAAATAAATAAATAAAAATAAAAAAAAATAAAACTGAGGGCATGAAGTAATTCATTGTATAGAGAAAGCACCCAGTGTTAATTTTCTTACGGGTCCAGTTTTACACGGAAAGCAATGTCAGCATTAGCATTTGAATCAACTAGCTTGTATCTCACTATCACTATCACTATCACTATCACTATCACCGCATTGTTCATCAGTTTGCTTGAGCAGACCCAGTAACGTCTCCATTCATCCCTGCCAAGTGCTAGTGTAGCCCTATGACATATTGGGGCCTCCTTCAGGATCAGGGGAATGAGGACCTTTCATTGTTACTGTTTTTGACATATCAAATATGCCACAGTTAGCTTGTCAAGTTCTGCCATGTGGGCGGGATACTCTCAGTAGCTTGCCAAGCTCTCCGAGAGGTATGAAAGCTTTTGGGAAGCCTCTAATCACCTTTACAGGTGTTCCTAGTCAGGCATATAGGCGAGTGTGATACTCTCAGTAGCCTGCCAGGTTCTCTGAGAGTGAGAACTAGAGAATAAGAGGTTGCGCGGCCACAGGATCTGGATCCTGGCCGTTGATGAGGTTACACGGCAGTTGGTGGGTGTAACTGTCTAGCTACTGGAAGGTGGGGGAGCTGGGTGGAGGAGGCCCAGTCCCGAACCGAGCAGGATTGGAGATCTCAGCCCCGAGTCCCGCACACCTGGGTTCCTCTGCCAGTAGCTCATCCAAACGTGTGGAGAGTGGTCTCAGCATGGCTTTGGCTGGGTCCCGGAGGCCTTCAGCTGTTGGGGCTCTGCTCAGGGCAGAGAGGGAAACTCAATCCTCCCTCCTCCAAGGGGCCCCGGTGAGGACAGCCAGGTGTGGGGGCAGAAGAGAACTCTGTCTTGTTCTCTTCCAGGAGCTTGGTTGTAGAGTCTCTGGATCCTGGCCATTGATGGGGTTACACAGCAGTTGGTGGGTGTAGCTTATATCTCAAACTCAAAAATTTAAACAAGGTACAAATTCTACCAAAATTGTATAAACACTAAAAAGAAAAAGAACATCCAAATATAAAAGAGCTCGAAGAATTCTAGTACTTCAGAGACAGGGAAGGAGATGATTCAGGCGTGACCCTCTGCTCCCTCAGGAGTGTTGTAAATTGTATTTTCTCCCACAATTTCTTAAAGGCCAAAGGGGGAGGGAGACAAAGAGATGACTCAGGGGAAATCTGAGCATTTCTCTTAGACATGCATCGCCAATGTCCACGGGAAAGAAGCAGATAAAAACTGCAATGAGACAAAGTCGTTTCTGCCTTAGATGACCCAAAGGGATACGCTGGTATTTATACTTTCCAAAATCAAAGGGAGACAAATCAAAATTTGTTGGACAAAACAGTAGCACAATTTCATCTTAAGGAAATTGACCTTTTATCTCTACAGTGAAAAACAGTGATCTTCTTCCAGGAATCTGTGTCTGTAGCCAATCATTTGCTGGTTCTTTCTCACCAGCACTTTTTAACTCCTTGGTCACCTCTTCTCCCGGGAGTTTTCTTAGCCAAGGGTTTGAAGAGAAATCTTTCTGTATATAGGTTTCCAAACATGAAGATGAATCTGTAGTGCTTTGGGCCAAAATACATAATCAAACCATAATGAGAGAGTTTTCAATAATATTTCTAAATATAGACAAGTCTCTTTTGTTTGTTTTGGGGTCACATCCAGAGCTGGTCAGAACTAGGACTTACTCCTGGCTCTGCACTCAAGAATTAATCCTGTCAGTGCCTGGGGGACCCTATGGGGATGACAGGGATCGAACCTGGGTGGCCATGTGCCAGAAAAGAGACTTACCTTCTATTCTATCTCTCCAGTCTGAGATAAACAAGTGTTATCAGAAAAAAAATCCCCTCTTGATAAAATTACAAATTATGAGTGCAGGCCCATCACACAAAGGTTTTTTTTAATGATATTTTTTGGGGGGGGAGTGTTTAGGTTGTGTCTACATCTTGGAAATACTAAAATAAGTAGATCTGAGGTACTGAAATCCCTTGATAAGAATTCTCTCATGAGCAATAAGTTAAATAGAAATTCTCCTTTCACTGAGCCTTACCTAATAGCTTAACAAGCACAAGAACTTTATCTTCTCTTGGATACTGTTTTAACAACTCAATACCATCCTATAACCAGATAGTTACTCAGAACCTTGCAAAGTTGCAGTGACATAAGAAGGATGTAGGGATTTGATCTTGCAGATGTTTCAGCAACAAATGGGTGGAATTTGAAAAGACTTTCTTCCTTTGGTCAGTGGATGGTATCATTCCACTGTAGTGTCTTCACTGGCTAGTGATTCAACATCTCCAACTTGACAATAACAAGAGCACCTGTTTCGCTGTGCAGTTTCAAAGCTGTCCTTCCTCCCAGCTTCAGTTTATGCAAAGAGACATAACACAGACTGAAAGCTGTATTTTCCCTTTATCTCTGATTGCATATATGATTATTTCAAGAGTAGCATCCAGACCTTCGTGCTAGTATAAAAAAGAGAGAGTCTTACTAATAGAAGACTTTCTCATCTTCCCAGTAAGACTCTCTCGTCTTTTATTAGCATGAAGGTCATTCACTTGTAATTTTTGCTTCTCTATTTTTGTGAAATTATGGCAACTCTTAATGGTTTTTTACCCAGAATTTGGGAGGATAATTATCTTTAAATTTGGAATCGTAGATACCTATTTTTAGGACAGAATTTTCTCTGGTACAGTGCTGCCTAGACTTGGCAAAATTTGCCGTAGCTTCCTCCACCAAAAAATAAGGCCATTTCAGATATGTAGCTGAGGTTTCTTTCATCCCCCTGGGTAATTCTGTCTAAACAAAAGCAATGCACGAAGCTTTTCCAGTTCACCACAACTTATAATACTGTACTCAGGGAGCAAAAGGAAAAAGGAAAATTGTCCATTGTTAACAGCGCCTTAGGATGCAAACATTTAATAATAATGCTGCCGGCACCAAGGTTACCCAGTGTGGAGTCTTGATTTAAGATCACAAACCAGCCGGTGGCCAGAGTTCGTATCAGTCCAAGGCAGCAAGCAACTCTACACAGTTCATTCAGGCAGAGAGAATGCAGTGCAGTCAGGGTTAGCAGAGGAGAAAGTCTGGGACGAAAGGACGTGCATTAGGTCTGATTAAGGTCTTGCTGCCTTGGGTCTTTCCCCGCAGAAGAGACTGAACCCTTCTCTGGTGTTACATGGATGAATAAGTTATTTAAAAAAGAAATTCC